CAACTTTCGCCTCTGCCGGAAGGCACTGCCTCAGAGCCCCCACCCACCCACCCGCTCATGAGCGTCCTCTGGGCACACACTTGTATATATACATCTCTATATTTATATATTTATTTATATATAAATATATATAAATGTGTGTGCGTACTCATCTCCCACTTTCTCTGAGTGCCGCTACCACACACACATATGCACAGACACCGTTGCGGCATTCCCATCTCCTGCACGCCCTCTACTTCCTCCTGCTCCCTCTCTGCGTGCGTGGGCGGGACTGTCGTCCTATTGCCCACCCCGCGCACACGCACACACACACACACGCCTGCTTGTCTTCTGTGCGGCTTCGCCGCTTGCCCCCCGCAGCCACGCCACGCCACACCCCCATACGCCGCCCCTCCACACTGGCCCCCCATGGCGCGCGTAGCACCCCTCCTCCCGGTACAAAGACGTCCTCCGCCTCGCCCCCCGCCCCCGCCGCTAGTCATCCTCCTCAAAGAGCCCCCTGATGACGCCGGCGTAGCGCCGCTCCACCGCCCCTCGGCGGATGGCCCCGGTGGCCGTCAGCACGCCATTCTCGCAGCACCACTCGTCAAGCAGGACCCTCACCGTGCGCACGCACTCGTGCGAGCTTCGCCCCGCGTTGCGGGCGAGTGACGCCATCGACTCTGCCGCCGCGCGGTTGAACGCCGCCTCACGCAGAAAGTACGGCCACGGGTAGTGCGAAGCGTTGGACTCAGTACTCTGCTGCAGGAAACGACGCGCCCGCGCCTCGTCGGTCAGGACAATGGCGGCGATGTAGGAGCGGTGGGGGTGCACCAGCACGCAAACTCCGCGTGGAATGCAAAGCGGGTGCTGCGTGTAGACTCGCTCGAGGGCGTCCAGATCAATGCAGCTGCCGCGGGCATTCTTCGCAACGGGCTTGACGCATGCCACGACACGAAGGGAACCGTTGCACTGCAACTCCAAGACGTCCCCAGTGTGCAGCCAGCCATCGTCATCCAACGCGTGCGCCGTTTCGGTGGGGCGTGCGTAGTACCCTGACATCAGCGTCGGCCCCCGCAAGAGCGCCTCTCCGCTCGGGCAGGCGTTGCTGTGCCGCCACGGCCCCACGTCGCGAAGCTTCAGCTCCACGGCCCCTAACAAGCCCCCGACGCAGTCGCGTTGGGTGTCCCAGAAGTACTGCATCGTGCCACACCCACCGCTCTCTGTCAGTCCGTACGTCTGCAACACAGAAACGCCGCAGGCAACCTCCAGAAACTCTTGCGTGTCCGCAGACAAGGGAGCGGCGGCGGAGATGACGGCGCGGCAGCGACCACCAAGCAACTTACGTGGGGTGCTGAACACGGTATTATTCAGAAATGGCGTATCCAGGCAGCAGCGGATGGCGCGACGACGCTCCTCAAAGGCAACACGAAAAATCCTGGAAAGAAACCCGCTTGAGGGCAGGGTGCGACCCAAACACTGACGCAGCTTGTTGAGGACGCAAGGCACACCAACAAACACCAACGGCTTGAACTCCCACAGGTCGCCGTGTGGAAACACGGACGTCATTCCCTGCCGCTGATAGAGCGTGAACGGCGTGCCGTAGCAGATGAGGTAGCCGCGATGCAGAAAGACATTCTCGGCGACAAACTCCGTGATAAGGGCAAAGGACAAATAGCCGAGATAGCAGGGACGCTGGCGTTCCTCTTCCTCCTCACCGCCACGCGTCGTACCAGCTTCACGGTTCCGGTGGGCAGCCAGAGACGGACAGTCCGCGTCCAACTTTGTGATGTCGAGGCGCTCCTGATACGCCGCGACGGCGGCCTTGAGTGCCCCGTGCGAGAGCATGACCCCCTTTGGGTCGCCGGTCTTGTACACCACCACCGCCAACTCGGCCGGCCCGGTTGGGAAGTTCAACACCGCGCAGCCCCGCAACTCCGCCTCCGCCTCCGCCGCAGACGCCGTCGCCGACGCCGACGCTGACGCTGACGCCGACGCCGACGCCGACGCCGACGCCGTTGCCGTTGCCTCGTCCTCCGTGCAGCGGTCGGGGCCGGCAGTTGCCTCGCCTCCAGCAATATCACTCAAACTTCGGTTGCGCAACGCCCCGCCGCTGTCGCACCTCCTCGGCGAAACTGAGGTACCACGCGATGTGTGCTCGCCCCAGCGGCGCCCTCAAGCAGCGAGCCGTGCTGCTCGCGCTGCGGCTCCGCCTCGACGGCGGCGAAGGCGGGACGAATGGCCCCACGGCGTCCTCACCGCCGTTTGCGTGGCAACGCTCAGCCTCCGCCTTGTGCTTATCCTGCGACTTGCGACAGGCCGCACGAGCCGCGAGGCGCCGCTTCCACTCGGCCCTGCCCATCGTCAGCACCTCATCCCACGTCCGCACCACGGTGTCTTGCACCTCCAACGCCTTGCTCAGCTGCGCCGCCGCGCACGACGCCACTGCCGCCTCCACGTCCGGCTGCCCCCCGGCATCGACGACCACAAAAGTGGGAATGCGACTTGCGCCCCTAGCAGCAAAAATGGCATGCAGCCGCGGTAGCAGGCCCCACTTGCACACCACGACAGACAATTTCGCCTCCGCCGCAACCTGCGCCGCCAAGAGCTTGTCGTCGTCAAAGAGAACACAGACGAAGCGCTGCGACCAGGCGGCGTAGCAGGTGGCCAGCCACTCCCAGCGGGTGTCGTGGCAGATGCCAATCATTGCACCGTGCGCGAGCCCCAAGGCCCTCAACCCACACCCAAATGCCACAACGCGCTCCCAGAGTTGGGCGTAAGTTCGGTACTTTGTGCGCTCCATCGTAATGCTCACGCGGTGTAGCTCTCGGGAGGCTCCCTCCCCGCCATTGCGGTCGCCGTCGGCGTTACGCGTGACACGCACGGCTCCCACACGGCGCCAGGCAACCGCGCGTTCGGTGCGTCGCCGCATGCACACTGCACGCAGGTCTCTCACCAGCGGGGAGAAGGTGTCTCCATCCTCGCACTGATACCTGCGCCACATAGCCTCGTAACTAAGGCGCTGCGCGTGGGGCTCACGAAGCACGCAACTCTCCTGTATCGTGGCGAACGCATCCACTTCAGCGGCAGAATCAAGCTCGTCGTCGTCGTCGTCGTCGTCGTCATAGTCACTGTAACCGTCATAGTCGCCGCAATCGGCAACTGACCAGGGCCCCCTTAAGAAGCGCCCGTAACTGTCGCCACTGCCGGTGCAGCGCAGAGCATGCGTCTCTCCACCGGCGGCTTTGACTCCGCTCACCGCGATGCCGTCTGGGTGACGCGGCAAATCCTCACCGAGCGGCAGGACGAACGGCCCAGACCCACGTGTTTGCACGGCTGGCTCATTCGGAACGAGCGAGTACCGGTGCTTGAGTTTCAGCAGCGCCACCAGGACGTTCATGCGCAACTCACGGTGCTAGTCGCAAGCGTGAAGGGTTATCTACGTATTTGTGCAAAAAAAAGCCGGCGGCAGCAAACGTAGCAACGCCCGGCTGGAAGCGTCTCTCCGTAGGCGTGTGTGTCCCGCCGCCTCCTCGGCACCGCAGCTGGAGCTCAGGGCGTCGGCGGAAAGCCGAAGAGCCCCCCAGCGACGCGCACACACAAACACACACACACAACAAAAAAAAAAAGAAACCCACGACAGCGAGCGGGGCGGCAAGGGCGTTCGGCAGTGACGGGCTGCGCCGAGGGAGATGTCCTTCCAAACTCTTCCGCCGCCTGCACGCACGCGCTCGCGGTTTCCACGCCTCTACGGTATTGCAAAAGTATCAGATCTTGTACGGGTCCCGTTCCCTACACGGCCTCCGGTGCCAGCGGCCGCAGCGCGGAAGGAAAAAAAAAGAAGAGGCGGCAAGAAAGTCGGTGTGGGCGGTCGAAGCAAGACGCAGCGGCTGTGCAGCGTCCAGCCGCGGGCGTGGGGGAGGGCGGACGTCAAGGGCAGAAAGCTGGCGAGACTTGGAGAAATAAAAACGCAGCAGCAGCAGCAGCAAAACAAAAACAAAACAAAAGAAAAAAAAGGGCCGTAAGGGCGACAAGGGAGAAGGCAAGAAATGCAACGCAGCCAGGTCCAAAGGTGGGCCCTTCTACCCGACGCGCGAACACACACACACACACGCAGCCACGCTGCCACACAACTGACGGAGAGGGCCGGAAGAAAAACGCTACCCCGGTAAAAAAAAAAAACAACAACAACAAGGGCCGCAGAGGAGTTACTCCCTGTTGTTGTTTTTTTTTACACCTCCCAGCCCCACCCCGGAAGCGGCTGCCTTCACTTCGCCTCAGATATGCGGGGGTTGTCGCCGCGGGCGCCCACAGCAGCAACCACCGCCGGAATACCCCCCTCCCCCCCCACAGTTGAAGGATAAGTGGCACGCAATACCCACACACGCACACAGAGAGCCACGCACATGCAAATGCATGTCAGTGAAACGGAAAAAAAGAAAAAGAAAAAGAATCACACACACAAGAAAAAAGAGATAAGTTGAAGGCGCCGCTTATTTCATTCAGTGTTTTCTGCTTTGTTTTTTTCGTTTCCCATCGCCTTCCTTCATCCACCCCTCACAGAGGCAAGAGAAACCCCCACGTCATCTCTACACCACGCTCGCATACCCCACACCATGCGCGCACCCACTCGCTGCACCGCAACAAATGCTGCGCCCCCGCACTGCTCCGTGACTCCGTGCTTGACAGCACATTCGTATAGCATGGCAAAGCGCGCGCACACACACAAAAGAAATTGGATGAAGGCAAAGCAAAACAGCGAGCGCGCTCAAGGGTCGGCAAAAAGATTTTGAATGACGTCGGCGTACCGCTTGTCAATTTCGCGGCGCTTCAGCTTGGCAGCCGCGGTGAGGATCCCATTCTCAGTCGTCCACTCGTCGTCAAGAAAGCACACATGACGCACACACTCCATGGGCTTGCGCTTCGCTTCCCGCGCCGTTGCCTGCATGGACTCAGCGGTCCTGCGCTGAAACTCTGGGTCACGCAGGAGCTCAGGATAACTGCCCTCAATGCCCTGCTCCCGCGCGAATCTAATGACCTTTGCCTCGTCCGCCAACACCAACGCGCAAATGTAGGCACGGGCGGGATGGACAAGCACACAAACACCACCAGGCAAGCACAGTGCGTTGTGTGCGTACATCGACTCCAGCGCCTCCAGCGCGATGTACTCGCCCAGCACATTCTTCGCCAGCGCCTTCACACGGCCAATGATGCGCAAGCTACCGTCCGCCGTGATGCTGCCCACGTCCCCTGTGTGGAACCACCCCTCCTCGTCGATGGCCTCCCGTGTGAGTTGCTCCTGCTTGTAGTACCCCTTGAAGAGAAACGGGCCACGCAGCAGAATCTCCCCCCGCGGCTCCGGCGTGTCGGTGTGTCTGTACTCCTCCACGTCAAGCAGCCTCAGTTCCTCTGTTGGCTCCATCTGTCCCACCGACGCAAGAGCAGTGTCGCCACGGCGCTGAATACCTCCCACGCACACCGTCTCTGTGAGGCCCCATCCCTGAACCATCAACCCAAAGACGACGTTGACAAACTCCTGCGTGGCCTCACTGATGGGGGCACCGCCAGAAAGTATCATGCGCAAATTGCGACCCAAAACCTCCCGCGGTTTGCCAAACACTTTTTGGTTCCAGTACGGCGTGTCCTTCCCGTCCATTAGCGCCTGAAGACGCGTCTTATAGGCGTGATCAAAGACGCTGCGCTGCACTGTGCCCACGGGGGGCAGCTTCGCCTGAATGGCCTTCTTAAGCGTTTCAAAGATGCGTGGCACGCCAAGGATAAACGCAGGATTAAACTCCGCAAAGTCGCCTGTGGGGCGGGCAGTGGCCATCGTTAAGGTTCGCGGCGTCCCGAAGCAGATGAGCGCCCCGCGTGCAAGGAAGATGTTCATGACACTGAACTCCATAATGTGGGCAAGGGGGAGGTAGACGCAGTAAGTTTCACCCTCCTCGTAAGGGCCAACGTTATCCATCACCCGGTGCGTCAGCCCTCGCACCCCCGCCCCAAGCGAGCCGTGTGTGTGCATGACGCCCTTCGGGTCCCCCGTGGTGCCGCTTGTGTACATAATTAGCGCCACCAGGTCGTTGTCCGTCGGCATTCGCAGGGGAATACGCTCCGCGGCGCGGCGGCCCATCTCCACCACCTCCGTCCACGGAAGGACACGGCAGCTCTTTGCATCAAACGATGCAGGAAGGGTGCCGTTGTAAATAATCGGGGCCATCGTGATGGCGCCCTCACTCATCAACTTAACGAGGAAGACAGAGTTCTTTGCGTTACACACAATCGCATTGCAGGCCGTCTCCTTTATTGCGTACGCCAAGGCGTCCTCGCCCAGCGTGGCGTACACCGTGCAGGCCACCATGCCCTGCGACCAAATGCCGTAGATGGTCGCCAGCCACTCCCAGCGGGTCTCCTCATAAATGGCGACGTTGGCGTCCGGCGGAATCCCGAGCTCGACCAGGCCACGCCCAAACGAAACGATCATATCCCAGAGAGTTTCAAACGTCATGTACTGGGTCTCCTTCAGGTAGGTGACATCCATGGCCCGCTCCTTGCCCGTAATGTTGTCCATCACCATCTCCTGCTCCACGCGATCGACGGGGCGATAGGCAAGCGCACGTCGATTAGGGCCGCGGAGGCATATTGCCTCCAACCGCTGCGTGAGGTTTGGCCCGTAGTACGCCTCTTTTGAGAGTTGCTTGTGCTGCGCGTCATCGTATCCGGCAATGCGATAGATTGCTGACGCGTTGGGCTTTTCAGTGCCTGGGATGGGGACGTTCAGCGCGCCAAGCTGACGGTACTCCATCACCTCCTTGTGGGGGACGATGGAGTAGCGATTCCTCGCGTCCATCACCGAGAGAACGCAGCCCCCCATTTCGCTTAACTCCTGCTTGCCTCTCGGCCCGACTTATGCTTCTCTCTCTCTTTCCCGGCTTGGCCCGATTTCCCCCCGCCCCCCGCCTCGCTGCTTTGCCTCCCCAGCAGCCGCACGTACGCCTGCTGACGGCGGTGGTGGTGGCGGTGCGGTTTTTCTTCTCTTTTCCTGCCGCCCGGCGCAGATATTTCTTGCAGTGGTGCCGCCGCCACGTGGACGCCAGCACCTCCCGAAGCCCCGTCAGCGCCTGTGAATAGCCGCGCGCGTCGCCCCGTTCCCCTCGGTGAGCCGTGTGCGTGGAGGAAGTTATGTCAAGCGACGCGCCTCCGCGGTGGATGCGGTTGTTGTTGTTTTTTTTTTCTACTGAAAGAAGCACACGAGGGGCACAAAAAAAAAAGAGCAGCATGCCGGCACAGGGGCCCGGCAGAGGTAGAAACCCACCACGACGGGGCAAGGCGCCCGCCAGGATGCAGATGCCAGAAAACACTGCGATAACAACAACAAAAAACGAACAAAGCGCACTTGACGCTGTAGTGAAATGCCGATGGTGCCCTCCTCACCTCGCCCCGCGCTGCCCACGCCCCATTCTCCACCCCGCCCGGCCCTACGGAGCCCACATGCATTCACGCACACATACCACAGGCGAGTGAGCGGGTTGGGCGCGCAGCAGTACCCCGCCAGCAACGCCCCCACCTCTCGCTCCCCCGTCCCATTCCCTCCGTCTGCGCCCCCGTCTCCCTGGCCAGCGTGAGGCACGACGAGGGGCGCGCCAAAGAAGGGCAGCAGCGCTTAAAAGCAAAAAAAAAAGAGAACGGTAGGGAAGGAAGGGAAGGGGAGGGGAGAGACGCAGCCGACGACTGAAGTGGAAGAAAGCGAAAAATGAAAACATGCCCCCGCAGTGCTACCAGCGCCTCGCCTCCACCATCGCGAAGCTTCGGCGACGAGCACGCAGAAAAAAAAGGGGGAAGTGGAGGGAGCCACCGCCTGCGAGGGCGGCAAAATAAAAACAAAAAAAGCAGAAACGCAGAGAGAGGGGGGAGGGGGCGAGAAAAAAATGAAGTGTGTTGCGAGTGCGCAGCAAGCACCGACGCAGTGGCTTGCCCGCGGCCAGCACGAGGACTGTCGCACCGGGGGACCCAGGCCGTGGGCGTGCAGACGCAACGCTGCAGCGGAGTAGAGGGGGAGGGGAGAGGGAAAGAAGTACAGAAAGCATAGAAAACAAACAAAAATAAACACACGACAGCGAAAAAAAAAAGAACACAAAAAGCAAAAATAAAGCGATGCAGCGGGCAACGTGTTTGCGACGAAAGCGTGGAGCAACACACCGCAACGAAGCGGCGTGTTGAGAGGAGGGTTCATCAAATGTCACCGGCCATGCGCAATGCGCCGCTCTGGCCTCACTCCCGCACACGCTGTGACGGCACGTCATCCGTGCTTCCTGCCAAACCCGTTTAGTTAACTGTCAGCCAGCCGTCAATTGGCTCTTTTTTTTTTTTTCAATTCCGATCACTTCACCATTTACAGATTTAATTTGTTTTTTTTTTTTGCCTGTGGCCGCTAAGACTCCTCCACAAACAACAACTGAATGACGTCGGCGTACCGCTTGTCAATTTCGCGGCGCTTCAGCTTTCCGGCCGCGGTGAGGATCCCATTCTCAGGCGTCCACTCGTCACCAACGACACAGACGTGACGCACACACTCAAACTTCTGCCGATTCACTTTACGCGCCGTTGCCTGCATGGACTCAGTGGCCCTGCGCTGAAACTCCGGGTCACGCAGGAGCTCAGGATAACTGCCCTCAATGCCCTGCTCCCGCGCGAAGCTGACGGCCTTTGCCTCGTCCGTCAGCACCAACGCGCAAATGTAGGCACGGGCGGGATGGACAAGCACACAAACACCATTAGGCATGCACAGTGCGTTGTGTGCGTACATCGACTCCAGCGCCTCCAGCGCGATGTACTCGCCCAGCACATTCTTCGCCAGCGCCTTCACACGGCCAATGATGCGAAGGCGACCGTTCGCCGTGATGCTGCCCACGTCCCCTGTGTGGAACCACCCCTCCTCGTCGATGGCCTCCCGCGTGAGTTGCTCCTGCCTGTAGTACCCCTTGAAGAGAAACGGGCCACGCAGCAGAATCTCCCCCCGCGGCTCCGGCGTGTCGGTGTGTCTGTACTCCTCCACGTCAAGAAGACGCATCTCGCAAGCGCGCTCCTGTTGCCCCGCCACAACGGTTTCAATGTCGCCGCAGAGCTGCTTTGTCCCCACGCACACCGTCTCTGTGAGGCCCCATCCCTGAACCATCAACCCAAAGACGACGTTGACAAACGTTTGCGTGGGGGCGCTGACGGGGCCGCCAGCTGACAGCATGGTGCGCATCTTCCCTCCAAGCATCGGGCGAAAGGGGCCGAACACCACCTCATTCCAGTACGGCGTCTCCATTCCGGCCTTCAGCGCATGTAGACGGCTCTGAAAGGCGTGATCGAAGGTGTGGCGCTCCAGCGAGCCACGCGGCGCCAGCTTTCCCTCGACGGTTTTCTTGATTGTGTCAAAGATGCGTGGCACACCGATGCTGAAGACGGGTTTGTACTCGACGTAGTCTCCATGCGGGCGGGCGTATGTGTCGAGCAGAGTGCGGGGAGTGCCAAAGCCAACCAACGATCCCCGCGCCAGGAAGATGTTGACGATGCCAAACTCAAAGATGTGGGCAAGTGGGAGGTAGGCGCAGTACGCCTCCCCCGTCTGAAACGGGCCAATGAGGTCTTGCACACGGTCGGCACAGGCCAACACGCCGGCGACGAGGGAGCCGTGTGTGTGGATCGCCCCTTTTGGGTCCCCCGTGGTGCCGCTTGTGTACATGACGAAGGCCAGTTTCTCGTTGTCCGTCGGTATTCGCAGGGGCTCCTCTGAAATGCGGCCGTTGTCCACGACATGGTACCAGGAGATCACGCGGCAAGTGCCGGTATCAGTATCTGGCGGCAACTGCCCCAGATAAATAATGGCAATCGGCTGTATCACATGCTCGCGCATCATACGCAGCAGACTCGGCACAGACGCCGCGTTGCATATAACGGCGGCACTTGCCGTCTCTCTAAACACGTACGCCAAGGCGTCCTCGCCCAGCGTGGCGTACGCCGTGCAGGCCACCATGCCCTGCGACCAAATGCCGTAGATGGTCGCCAGCCACTCCCAGCGGGTCTCCTCATAAATGGCGACGTTGGCGTTGGGCGGAATCCCGAGCTCGATCAGGCCACGCCCAAACGCCACGATGTATCCCCAAAGTGTGTCAAAGTCAATGTACTGAGTCTCGGAAAAGTAGCTGATGGCATACGTCCGTTCCAGGCCATGTGGGCCCTTCAAAACCTCCTTTGAGACGCGCTGCAAGGGGCGATAGCCAAAGGCGTTACGACTCCCACCCTTCTCACAGATGTTCTTGAATCTCTGAGGCATGTTTGCACCGTAGTACCACTCACGGCAGAGCTCTTCGTGTTCCTCGTCATTTGTGCCAACGCGGCGGTAAACAGCTGACATGTTTCCAGTTTCTGTTCCCGGAAGCGGCTCGTTTTGGGCCCCGTACTTCCAGATCCGCTGGATGTCCTCGTGGGGCACCATGCGGCGGTTGTTCTCCTGATCCATGAGGGAGAACAAGGAGGTCTCCAAGAGCTTCATTGCCGCCACCGTGTTCATATTCCCTCGACGCCGGCACGGGTGGGGGGGGGGGGTTGCCTATCACTTTTGTTTTGTTTTGTTTTTTTTTTGGCTGCTTCGCTCGAAATCTTCGCTTCCTTGCTTCGAGGCAAACGACGGCGGGGAGGTGAGAGCAGATAACAGCGGCTGCAGGCACCCGCCTCCCGCAGTTCCGCGCCACAACACGCCGACCCGCACGCATCTTTGGCACAGTCACTCTCTGCTCGCCGCATTCTCCGAGCCCGTCTTTTTCCCCCCTTCCCCGTACCTTTTTTTTATTTTCTACTTTTTACCTTTTCTTTTTTTTTAGTTTCAAGCATTAGTTCTTTTTGTATTATCTTTTGGGGTTTGTGTTTGTGTTTGTTTTTGTTTTTCTTTTCTCCTCCTCCTCCTCGCCTGCGTCCACCTGCTTCCGGCAGCTGCTGCCGCCGCCGGCCCCTCTCCTCTTTGCGCTCTTCTTCGCCCACCCACCCGGCCTCCCCCGCCTCCCCCCTCCACACACGCAGACACACACGCACGCACGTGCACTCACGGAGGGCGCAGCAGCAAGGAAGCACGGCAAGAAAGTTGTGAGTGAAGCCCAGCCCCACAAGCCCCGCGCTAAGCCACAAAATCAAAAACAAAAGGCAGGGGCAGGGGGACAACAAGAACAACAGTATTTATATATATATATATAATTCTACACATACACGTACACATGCACAGAGATGTAGATGTCCTGGGGGACGCAGTGCGCGCGTGCATGTGTACGAGCGTGGGCGGGGCGTGCTTGTGCTAAACCCGCGAGAAAAAAAAAGTAAAAGAAAGAAAGAAAGAAAGAGAGGAGACCGCCCACCCACAAACGGATCCCCACCGCAACCAACACAGCAGTAAATTCAAAGTGGAAAATGCATTTGCCGTTGTATAAGTAAATACATACACTTGCATGCTGCTTAAGAAAGAGATAAAGAGAGAGAGAGAGCAGAGCGAGACGCCAAAGTGGGGCCGCGTGATGCTAACCAGCGGCAATCCCCTGCTTCAGCCGCCGCAGCGGCAGCGGCAGCGGCGTCATCATCGTTCATTGCAAAAAAGCTGCGCAATGACGTCCGCGTAGCGCTTCTCAATGTTGGCCCGACGCAGCTTCGACGTAGGCGTCACAAGAGTGTTTTCAGGCGTCCACTCATCGGCCAGCACACGAACATATCGCACGGTTTCGAACGGCATGCGCCCCGCCTCCTTCGCAGTGGCAGCCAGCGACTGGGCCACCTTGGCATGAAATCCCTCGTTCTTCAGCAGCTCCTCCAGCGAACCCCGCAAACCATTCTTTTTTGCAAAGGCCTCCGCCTTTGCCTCGTCCGCCAACACCAACGCGCAAATGTAGGCACGGGCGGGATGGACAAGCACACAAACACCACCAGGAGTACAGAAACTGTTTTGGGTGTACAGCGCCTCCAGCGCCTCCAGCGCGATGTACTCGCCCAGCACATTCTTCGCCAGCGCCTTCACACGGCCAATGATGCGCAAGCTACCGTCCGCCGTGATGCTGCCCACGTCCCCTGTGTGGAACCACCCCTCCTCGTCGATGGCCTCCCGCGTGAGTTGCTCCTGCCTGTAGTACCCCTTGAAGAGAAACGGGCCACGCAGCAGAATCTCCCCCCGCGGCTCCGGCGTGTCGGTGTGTCTGTACTCCTCCACGTCAAGCAGCTTCATTTCTGCAGTCACAAGCAGCTGCCCAACGTCGTCCGTCGCAATGTAATCCAGACGCTGCGTCGCGCCGCAGCACACCGTCTCTGTGAGGCCCCATCCCTGAATCAGTATCGGACCGCCCAAGCAGACATCAAGAAATTCCTGTGCCTCAGCGCCAAGTGGGCCGCCGCCGCACAGCATTGAGAATACCTTTCCCCCCAGCAACTTGGGTGCATCTTTGAATACCGCCTTGTTCCAGTACGGCGTGTTGAATTCCTTCTTGAGTGCGTCCAGGCGTGAGGCGAACGCCCTGTCAAATATCCTTCGCTTGAAGCTATTCGGTGGCGGAATCTTCTTCTCCACAGCCTTCTTGATGGAATCAAAGATGCGCGGCACACCAATGATAATGCTGGGGGAAAACTCCTTGAAGTCCCCGTGCGGAATGGCAAATTCGTCGGTGAGGGTGCGGGTGTTGCTGAACCCCACCAAACTGCCCCGCTGCAGGAAGATGTTTACAATACCGAACTCGAGAATGTGTGCAAGCGGCAGAAAGGCGCAGTAAGTCTCGTCCTCCGATGTCGAGTGGTAAATGTCGCTCAGTCGCTCAGCGAGGGCGCTGATGCCCGCAGTTATAGAGCCGTGGGTGTGCACGACGCCCTTCGGGTCGCCAGAGGTGCCGCTTGTATACATAACTAGCGCCTCAATATCGTTGTCGGTCGGAACTTCGGCGGGACGCCGGGAAGCCGCCCCCTTTTCCACGACCTCCGTCCACGCAACGACGCGGTAGCCGCCCGTGTCCACGTCCACGGGGAGGCCGTCGAGGCACACAATGATGGGGTGGAGGTCCTGCGCCCGAAGCAGCGGGACGATGGACTTTAGTGTCCGGCTGCTGCAGATGATGGCGACCGAGTTCGTCTCGCAGAGGGCGTAGGTCAAGGCGTCCTCGCCAAGTTTGGCGTAGACCGTCGCGGCGACCAGGTTGTGCGTCCAGATGCCATAGATTGACACAAGCCACTCCCATCGCGTTTCCTCGTAGATCGTGACAAGGCTCCGCGGCGACAACCCAAGCTCGCACAACCCCGCGCCGAAGGCGACGATGTACTCCCACAGCTTCGCGTACGACACCTCCTGGCGCTCGCGGTAGTGGTAGTATTCGAACATGCACTCCTTCCCCTCTGCATTGCGCGTGGGGCGACGCTCTACCTTCTCCAGCGGGCGGTAGGCGACGGCGGAGCGAGTGCCTAATTTTTCGCACTGCTCCTCAAGCTTCTGCACGCAATTTTTCTGTGTGTAGTATTCCTCCGCCAGCCGCTTGTGCGTCTCCGCGCCACCGGTGCGGCTGTGACGGTAAACGGCAGACGTTGTCGCCGTCTCGGTTCCAGGCACGGTCACGGTCTGCGGCGCCCTGTTTCCGGTGAGAAACGGGTGCGGACCCCGGGACAGCTTGTCCCGCCCGTCCATCAACGCTGAGAGTAACCCCCCCATGGCCGGTCGCGGGGCAAAGGCGGCGTATGGGCAGGCAACTCGGAAAAAGTAAAAGTAAAGGAATTAAAACAGAACCGGAGTCAACGCCCTCGCGTCACTGCTCCTACTCTAACCGTGCCGGGGTAGTTTGTGTGTGGCTGCTCGCTTCCGCCAGTGCGTTGCGGGCGCATGTGCAAGCCACAACAAATGAAGAAAATTCAGGGGAGAAAAAGAAGGAAAAAATGAAAGAGCAAGAAGAACACGCGCTCAAACAAATATGTTACGCGAACACACACACACACATGCGTTGCCGCGCGTGTGGAGGGCACAATGTTGCAGCTCCCGTTACTGGCGGTTTTGTGTCTCTCCTCCCTGAGATAATTATGCTGTCAGAAAGTGTGTTTTTTGCTTTGTTTTGTTTTGTTTTGTTTTTTTCTGCTTGGCCAATGACTTCGCATGCAAGCAGGGACGGATGGGTGGGTGTGACTCCTGCCGCTTCCCCTCGCCCCTACGCACACAGACACCTCACCCACCTTCCCGTCAGCGGTGAAAGCAGACGGTGGGCGAAGCCCGCGCCGCACAGACGCAGGGACGAACGAAGTAACAAAAAAGAAAGCGCACCCGGGGTTGGAATGAAGGAAACAAAAGGCAATTAAAAACAGATCGGCCTCAGGAACGCGTAGTTACAAAAGCAGACAGAGCCCATACACATTATATGTAGGTATGTATCTTTACGCATGTATGTATATGTATGTATATGCATGTGTGTGTGAGGAGGAGGGGGGGGGATGGGTGTTTGCAACGTGCCGTCCTCTACGCCGCGTTTCCCTGGCCTCTTGCCGCCTCGTTTGCACGCCCATTAAACTGCAAATCGCTGGCCGCATTAAGCCGCCCCACAGCAAAGGAAGAAGCCCCCCGCCAACGCCACTACTGAGACGCGCACACAGTGACACACACACACACACACAGAGAGAGAGAGAGAGAGGAGGAGGGAGGGAGGAGGGAGGGAGGGAGGGAGGAAGGGAAGGAGGGGAGGGGAAGAAA